GTAATCAAGGACGTGTTAACAGGAGCTGCTCTTACTGAGAGGAACGGGAGGGGGAACATCTCTCAGAACTCAGATTACCTCACTGTGCTCACTGGAATCTGGAAAAAGTGCTCTTCAACTTGCCCAACTGCATCAATTGCTGTAGATCTGATAGAAGAAGGAATTCCAGGATCTGCTGCCTAGGAAGAATCTCCTCAGAGCCCAAGGAGGAGTCTCCAGCTGGAACTTGGGGATGGTCTGAAAAAGTTCCGTCCCCGAAAGATGGATTCCATTGATCATTTTTTCCTAGACATAGTGCACTTCAGGCTCATTTTGCTTTGTAATTAAGAAGAAAGCCAGAAACATCATTTACACATTAAGAATTTAATAGATATATTTTTCTAGCTTTATGCATTAGCACAGGACAGCCCATTAATGAAATAAGTCTTCCTTCAGGGTCAATTTAGATGGCTGTAATCTTCTGCAAATATATTGCAAATGAGGATCATTTAATGATCTTAAAACTAACTGCCAGGAGAGGATTGTTATAACTCTCCAGACAACAAAAGAGACTGGCTATGGGGGCAGCATCCTATCTTTAAGAAGCCTTTGATTTCTGTTACTACATTTTAAAAATTGTAGATGTCATCTTCCATTCTGGTTTGTCTCTGGCCTGCTGGCTTAGTCTGCATTAGGGAAATCTTAGGGAAACGTTAAATTAACACAGCATTGCTGATAGGAAGATGACGGGGGTCTCTGCTCAGCTCCCTTTCGTCTGGCCCAGCTCATTGCCTGCTGCAAAACTCCTCTGCCTGGCTGTTCTGTCTCTGATATATGGGCACCTACTGTCATAACAGCACTTCAAAGGTGTGCAGCAGCCATGATTTTTACAATTCTTTCACATGCATGATCTTATTTACTCCTGAATGCAACATCAGAGGACAGGCATGGAGCAGGTCACTTCCTCTTCATAACTACAGAAGAATGTAGGGTCAAGGGACCAAATGCTGGCCTCAACCCCACATTGCCATTTTACTTTCTCTAGCAGGGAAACACTAAGATTCAGGCCTCCTGATTCTTGATTTGGTTCCCCTGCTATCCCAGGTGCCTTTGCAAAGCGCTAATCTAGACGCTCTGGGCGTTTGGAGGGAAGATTTGGTAGAAAAGTCTCCATGCCCTCAGAAAATTTGTAACCTAGCTAGAGAAAGCAAAAGATTTGCCCCTCTCCAAATAGAGCAGAAGTGATGTGTCTGCGGTAATTGTCAAATCAATGGGATACACAGAGTATTTAAAAGTTCGTGAAAAGGCTGTAGCACAGTGATGGATTGCATGCTGTGTCCAACACCTGGGCTTCAACTCCAGCACCCACATGCAAAAAAGGGTTCATGACATAAAGAAATGTGGGCACTGGAGAGATGGCTCAGCAGTTGAAGGTGCTTGCTGTTCTAGCAGAGGACCCGAGTTCAGTTCCCAGCACCCACATCAGGTTGCTCACAGCCACCTGTTACTCCAGCTCTGGGGATCCAGTGTCCTCTTCTGGACTCCACCAGCACTTGGATGTGCATAGACATGCCCCATATACATGCGTGCATACATAATTTTAAAGTAAACCTGTGAAAAAAGAATCCTACACGTTCTCTAGAGTAACCTTAGGTGTTGTTATTGTGGTGGTTAATCTTGATGGTCATCCTAATTGGACAGAGAAACACGCAAGATGGAGGTTACTGACGCTCACTGACGGATGTGTCCAGAAGGGTGTCTGGGGACATGGTTGGTACGTGGGGCAGCAGCTAAGGGAAGAAAGAATGTCCTGGATGTGGGTGGCACCTTCTATTCGGCTGCCAGCCCAGATGGAAAAAGGCCGAAGGAGGAAGAGACGAACACGGCTCCTTTTCCGTTTCTCTGCCTCCTAGGATTCCCCATCACATGCCTTACTGCCATGATGATATGGCCTTGCCATGGGACTTAGAGTGATGTTGCCAACTGGCCTTGAACCGAGGCCTCTGAAGTCGTGAGTTAAAGTGATTTCTCGTCTAAGCTGCAACCTCCCAGGAATTTTGTAACAGGAACAACAAACTACAGATTTTATAGCACTTTGCAAAAGCAGCCATGGGGTTTTTGAGAGGTTTAGAGAACATTCCAGAGCGCTCATGCTATTTAACCAGCAGACCCTGAACACAGCTCAGGTCCTCCCTGAACCTGGCTGGCTCTGTGTGATCCCACGGGACCCGTGGACTCACTGCAGAGGCCGTGAGGAGGCTGGGAAGGTTTACCAGCTTTCCCTCCTCTTTGAAGAGTCTCTGTCTGAGCCACACCAAACACAGAAGGAAGGAGCGCTTGCTAGGCCCCCAGGACACCAGCTCTGCCTGGCAGGGAAGCTCGTGAGCCGGCCTGGAGCTGCCTGGGGACGTTCAGATGAAAGGTCCTTATGTGTCTTGGGTTATCTTTGTTAATAACTGTGTCTCAGCACAGCATCGCCCCACCGTGAACATCCTCCTTCATCTTCTTCAGAGAATCCGCTCCTGTCGTGTGGGGTTTCCTGGAAGCTAACCTTCAAAGTCAGGCACTCCAGCTAAGTGTATTTTAAACCATGCAGTCTCACATTAAAGAGAAATGGCCGTCATTCTGCCCTGGAAACTGTTCCCTGGCATGACATTACTTTAATTCACTGGCTCCTTGTAATCAAGGCCTAATACACAGCACCTTTAAATAAGTCCGACACACAGCCTGCATTGTTACAATCAATTGAACTACTTAAATCAGAGAGCTGGGAGGCTGACTGGAGGGCTCTGAGCTTCCCTCTGTTTTACAGCTCGACCTCAGATAAGATGTGTGAAAAGGTCAAGGCAGCATGTAGGCTTTTGCATTAAACAGCAGAACACTAATTGGTTTTAGTGACAATGGGGTTCTGTTACTGTGTTCTAATATTTTGATGCCTAGTTTGGTTTGAAACCCCACAACAATACACAAAAGCTCCTCTTTCTTCCAGCTCGGCCCCTGTCCGGGGTTTTTCAACCCCACAGCTGTTTGAACTAAGCGTATACGTTTTTCTGTCTGTGTTTTCGGGAACAGTCTGTTCTAAGCCTTCATTTCAAAACAGACCTTTGGAAAGGAGAAATCAAAAGACGACGACGTGTGGGGCCCTCTGTTTCATGAAGAGTCTGGTATATTTGTTTCAAGCACAAATTGTGTTAAAAATCCACCATCACTGGCTACTTAACGATATGTGCATTAAGTATACTATATTATAAAAAAATTAAATACTAAATTTAGTGTTGAATTGTTTAGAAATGATTACCTCATTCCTGAGTTCAATTTTAATTTAAAAAGGCCAGTAATATAGTTCTTCAAAACCAGACCTACTGTTTTTATTTTTTTCCTCACTATATATGTGTCTATATTCTTGCCCTTTTTCTACATTCTAAAACATTCTCTAAGAGAAAGAAACAATTGATGAAAATAATACTATTTGAGATGTTGTTGCTCAAATGACATGTGTTTGAAAACACTAATAACTCTGTGATGTAATTTATAATGTGTAATGTACCCTTTTTTGTTTTGTTTTGTTTTTTGAGACAGGGTTTCTCTGGGTAGTTTTGGTGCCTGTCCTGGATCTCGTTCTGTAGACCAGGCTGGCCTCGAACTCATAGAGATCTGCCTGGCTCTGCCCCCGGGTGCTGGGATTAAAGGTGTGCGGCACCACCGTCCAGCATAATGTAGCTTTTTATAAAATAAAAAATGATGAACCAAATGAATTTTCTCAGCTAACTTGGGCGGGTTGCTGGTTCCTGGTAGAAGAGAGATCTATACCACTTTCTGGTGTCATTGTTTCTGCTCCTGTTTAAAAAACTCTGTTGGAGGACAGAACTTAGAGATGCTGGGTTTCTGTGGTGATGTCTTCTGGGGCCAGGGGATTCCAGCAGGTGTGAGATGCTGGGTCCTATCACCACCACCATGACACACATACACACATACAACTCTTCTTTTCTTCCTTCCTTCCTTCCTTCCTTCCTTCCTTCCTTCCTTCCTTCCTTCCTTCCTTCCTTCCTCTCTCTCTCTCTCTCTCACACACACACACACACACTCATACACATCTCTCTACTACTGTTTTCTCATGGCATTACAAAGAATCTAATCTGTAGAAGGGAACAGAACAGCCCCATTCATCTCTACTCCCTTTGCTATGGCCAACAGAACTGAATTTCCAACCAAATCTATAGTTTTCCACCCAAAACCTATGTAAGACTGGCCCTGTCAGCATTTCACCACACACAAGGAGGGCACATAAAACCTTGACACTCACTGGGGACTATAGGTTGAAAAATTACATCAAATTTGGGGGACTGTTGGGAAGTAAGAGGGTGAGGAGAGAGAGTGAGAAGAGAGATTAAGGAAAGAGAGTGAGGAGAGAGGGTGAGGAGGGAGGGTGAGGAGAGAGAGGGTGAGGAGAGAGAGTGAGGAGAGAGAGGGTGAGAAGAGAGAGTGAGAAAAGAGATTAAGGAAAGAGAGTGAGGAGAGAGGGTGAGGAGAATGGGTGAGGAGAGAGAGGGTGAGGAGAGAGAGTGAGGAGAGAGAGGGTGAGAAGAGTGAGAAAAGAGATTAAGGAAAGAGAGTGAGGAGAGAGGGTGAGGAGAGAGGAGAGAGGGTGAGGAGAGAGGGTGAGGAGAGGGTGAGGAGGGAGAGTAGAGGAAGGCAAAATGGACAAAACTCAATATACTTGTATGAAATTGTGAATGAAAAAAGAAAGCCTCATTGACACAAAACTCAGTTCTCACCTCAAAGGGAACAAGAGATACTTTATTCAGCAGGCGGGAATGAGTGATGGTGATGAATACTTTATTCTGGAGGTGCAAATGAGTGACCATGGCCCTAAGACACAAATACTCACTGCTCCCAAAACAATGTTCCAATGTGGTGGTGATAGTTTCATGAAGTCTTTTAGTTCCAGAACAAAAGAAAGCCATAGAGCAAGGAGAGTTGAATTACCGCAGCAGGGACGTTGGGCAGTGGAGTGCGGGGGTGGGGGTGGGGGTGGGGTGTGAAGGGGTGGGGGTGTGGGGGAGGCAGGAGGCCTTTGCTGTATATTGCAGGCACTCTCTGATGACATTCTTAGCCTGTGGGATGGGAGAAGCTATCTGCTAACACATCCCTAAGGGTCCATGTGCTACCCAGGTTAGATAGAGATAGGCAATGAATAAGTTAGCAACATGGCTAAAGACAGTCCAAGATTATACGACTTGATGCAGAGTTCCAATTTTCAAAATCATGGAGGTTTTCATCCATGAGCCTTGTCCAGTCTTTAACACAGGTCATTCTTTTTTCTTTTTTTTCTTGGAACTTCATGTTTCTAGCTCTTCATCTGTGAAAACAATGTTTTTCTAGATAACTCAATGTACTGCTGTTCGGTTTGCTCTGATCTACACAAATTAAAGCAATAAAGGTGTAAAGGGAGGTACGAGCATCCCTTTCCTGGACACTGTCTTGATGAAGCACTCCCTTTTCAAAACTCTCCTTATAGCTTCCCAAAGCCAATGTTGTGAGTAAACCATGTCTAAGAAAGCCAATTTTTTAAAAATATATTTATTTCATTTTTATTTATATGTTTGTGCACATGGCCAGAATAGGGCACTGTTATGGGCAATTGTAAGTTGCCCAACATGGGTGCTGGGAACTTAACTATGCTCCTCTGCAAGAACGGAAAGCCCTCTAAACTGTTCCAGCCCCTATAAAGCTAGGTCCGTATCACCAACAGTGGGCATGCCATAGGCTGGTCCACTACGGGGCCAGGAGCCACAATAAACACAGGCGCCCGTTACTTAGTTAATCTTATTAAATGCTTATGTTTTAATCTCAATTTTGTAGAGGAGAAACCTGAGACTCAGAGTGATCAAGTAATTTACATAAGGTTACAGAGCTCATTGAGTGAAGTATCCGGGACTCTAGCTCAGTCTGTCCAGTCTCAGAAGTTAGCCTCTTCACAGCAATGTTATGCTGCCCAGCAGAACCAGTAATTTATTTCCATTTCCATTCTGAACTTTTTCTGAACATTTCCAAGTATTTGCCCTGCGATGACTCTTATCAAAACAAGATTAAATAGAATTTTCTGGTTCATATAATTTGAACACTTAGAAAAAGTGACACTTACCTCTTGAGGAATCCTTCCCTTGAGGACCAGGAAAGAACACAGAAGGTGTACAGTCAAAGGGGCTGTGCGATCTTAGCACGTCACCTAATTGAGTCTTACGTTCTCTTCGGTAAAATGACAGTAATACTAGCTACCCTCCAGGCCACTTGGGAAGAAAACAGCTAACAATCTACCAAACACTAACTGTTTAGCTAGGTATGATGGGACACACCTGTAATCCCAACACTCAGGGTATGAAAGCTGAAAGCTGGAAGATCAGGCACTCAAGGACAAATTCAACTACCTAGTGACTTTGAGACTAGCCTGGGCTGCACAAGAGTTTATCTCAAAAATCAAGCAAACTAAAACACTAAATTTCTGCCAAGCGATATACAAGAAGCTACATTGTGTCATTTCTATTATTTTTGTCAATTAACCTTTTTTTTTAAGACTAAATAAGCTGAGCCTGGTGACACAACCTGTAATACCAGACACTTGAGAGGCCAAGGAAAGAAGACAAAAAGTTCAAGGCCAGCCTGGCATCTTAGAGAGACCTAAGACTTTGTTTCAAAATAATAATGTTCTTTAAGGGTTGTAAATAGAGTTCAACAGTTAAGAGTTTGCCTAGCATGTCTAAGTTTAATGCATTTAATAGGTTTAATCCCCAGCACCACTGCTCCCTAAAATAAATAAAATGAAAAAAGCTATATTACTTCATTTAATCCTTTAATAATTATCTGTGGGTTTCCTTATCCTGACATATATTTACATATTTATTCAGAGGAAGTTAGCATCTGCTGAGTGTGAAGGCTTTCTCACTGGGCTTGGTGGATGCACCCTATTGCCACATGAATGACAACGCTCTTCTTGGATTTGTAATGGACAAGAAGCCATCTGCTTGGCTTTTGGCTTGAATTTAGCATTTCATGTTGGTAGCGCAGATTCAGGTGGCGTTTTTGAAAGTACTGAATGATATTACCATCACCTAAGATCCTCATGAACAACAAACAGCACTTCCTAATCAAAGTCTTTAGGGCTAGAGAGATGTCTTAGCCTTTAGGAGCAGGTATAGCTCTTTCAGAGGTCCCCAGTTCAGTTCCCAGCACCCATGTCTGGCCACTCACAACAACATGTAGCTCCAACCCTTCTGGTCTCTGCCGGCCCCTGTGCTCATGTATACATGCACACCAAAAGACATATATGCATTACCCATATGGTGGTTTGAATGAGAGTGGCCTCCATAGGCTCATGTATTTAAATGCCTGGTCATCAGAGAGAGGAACTGTTTGAAAGGATTACAAGAATTAGGAGGTGTGGTCTTGTTGGAGTAGATGTGGCCTGCGTCACTGACTTCTGCCTTCTAAGTAACAGCCTTATGTAGCGGGTAGAATACTGAGCCGCTCTGCTTCGGGCTACATCAAGGACTCTCCCAGGCACTACCCAGCCTCACCAACTCCATGGTTCAATCTGTTGCCATTTGGTCCTGAGTCATCATCCCCTGAGGCCAAGCACCTCAGCTGTGTTCCTTCTGTCCATGACGTTGACAAAGAAGATGACATACTAAAGAATAAATATATGGTTCTGAAGGCCTGGATCAGTTTTCAGAACAGTCGAGAATGCCAATTTAGAAAAAGAACCCGAGCTGTATTTTATAGTGAGTAAATTATTTTTCAAGAATGTTGCTACTAAAACGTCACAATCCCCAATGTGTCTTGGTTCCTAACTCAATATTTTTAATTACTTGCCTTTATTGGTCAGAGAAAATGTAGAGTCAAGTTTCAAGTAATCCCTTTTATTGGACTAATGGGAGAATATTGACAGATTAGCTTTGGGGGATACAGAAAACTCCCCTCAAGGTCAGCGAGGGATTGACTCCAAGGAAAGATTTCTGTAGGCAGAGAAGCCTCTGTGTCAATACAGTAGAGTTTGTCTGATAAAGGGTATTACTCAAAACGTGGCTAGGGCTCTGCTTTGACATCTAAAAACCACAGTGCACTAAGGACATTGTTCTGTGGGGCAGGGCTTCGGCAGGTTCCTGGCATGATCTTTCTGAACCTCCATTTCCTCACCTCTCCTGCCTGCTTCTCAGAGTTAGTGCATTGCTAACATTGGTTAGAACACTTCCGTAGCTGGGAAGTATGATAAAATGCGTGACATAGTTACTATTGATTGTTAATATGCAATAAACTGAAGCTAACAGATAACAAAGAGGCATCAACACTGATAATTACCCTGGTGAGAGTCCTTTGAATTCCTACCCCCATACTAATAAGTTACAGTATCACTTCATCTAAACACTCCTGAGTCCACACTAAAGGTGGTGCCCCAGGTCCGAGAGCAGATCTATACTTACCCAATGCCTTTTATAAGAGTCCTGCATTCTGTTCTAGAAAGAACTGTTAGGTTCCAAGTAGGCTTCTCGTTCAATGTGGAATACTTCCCTTGGTGTCCTCTGTGATAAAAGGCAGACAAATAACAAATAACCTGTACTTTCTGAGTCCTAGGAATCTAGACTTGTCTATGTAGAGGAATATTAAAACCTCGTACTTGAAAAACTATCATCTTCAGTAACAGACAACTAACCCTTTCACACCAGTTTAATGTATTTGCTTAAATCTTAATTCCCCCCTAAGTAACGGAAAGTGTATCAGTTATTAAAGCTGCTCATTTAAAAAATTTTATCTGCATATGTATGCATGGCACATATATAGGTATTTGTGTATGCATATTTGCATGTGTATAAGTACACGTGAATGTGTGGGTGTGCATACTGTGTGCCTGCCTGCCTGTAAAGGCTCAAAGTTGATATTAGGTATCTTTCTCAATTACTCTCCATTTTCTTTATTGAAACAGGGTCCCCCCAGAACCAGGAGCTAGCCAGCTTGCCCCAGGGGTCCCCTCTCACGCTTCTGAGGTAGTCACTGTGCCTATGAAGCTTTCATGTGGGTTCTGGGGTTCTGAACTCCTGTTCTCATTCTTGCAAGGCAAGCATTTTCTCTACTGAGCCATCTTCCCAACCAGAGCTGATCATTTTAAAACAACTCACTGGACAGTGCATTTGGCAACAGCTAGCTATCTATCTCTTGACATTGCTTCTGCTAAAAGAGGG